TGGGCGGAAATCAGGCCTACATTAAACCCCATCCTAGGTGTTTAACATGGCCAGGCCAAGTCTGGATTTGGTCCTCATGAGACCGTCCTTACTTCGTCCTCAAAGACCCTTACGTCTATGCATTGGGAATATCTATGATGGTGTGAGGTCAATTCTATGAGTACCAAACCCAAATTCAACTAATCCATTATCAGAAAACAAAGTTAACGCTAGATTGAGAAAATAAGTTCAGATATGCTATCCACAATACACTAACCTAAACATTACAACCACACATTGAGAACATATATCGTACTTTATGTTGTTATTCACAACAAGTGTATTCAACATGCGACTATAGAGTTTACCTTAGCATCCTATAGTACCCCATAGTACATTTTAACCTTGTATTGGGTTGGGAACATCTCCCAATGACAAGAATGAGAGATGTTCCCAAAGCACACTAAGATGTGTATGTAGGGTTCTCGTGGGATGCACCCTATTGGACATTGATGTGATCTCGCGGTTGTAGTGTTTTTATTGATAGGATGTAGGTCATGAATAGGGCGGCAACCTACAAGAGATTTTGTTAGTCACATGTGTGATGTGTCAATCACCCGATTAGTATCCTATACTTTCGACCTAGTGTCACTTTGGTCCCCGAACTTTTAGATGGTGTTTAGCAGAATAGGCATTTTTTGGAATCATTTTAAAAAAAAATGTCCACGCCTACTACATCGTTTTTTGCCATTATACATGTTTGGTGGTATTTCTACCACATAAGCAATGAACATCATTTTTCACTCTTTTTTTTGTTTGGTAATGTGATTTTCATCATTGATTTTTGTGTAATTGTACCCACTACTGTGTATGATGGTGCATGCTAATTTATATGATAAGTAACTAATAATGCTCATCAAATGATCCGTATTATTTGGATGATTGATTTATATTTTTCGGCCTCAAAAGTTAAATTCAATAATTGAAATTGATATTGGGTTACATCCATGACCTCAACGTGATAATGGTGTCATATCCAATTGCTGATAGTGGTTTAGTTTTGTTGATCTTTGGTACTTCGCAACTAATCAAGAAAAAGTAAATGCAACTAATCAAACCATGTTTCTTTATAGTAAAGCCCTTTCAAATAATCACCTATTTGAAAGGTCATTTGATTTTTGTGTAATTGCACCCACTACTGTGTATGATGGTGCATGCTAATTTATATGATAAGTAACTAATAATGCTCATCAAATGATCCGTATTATTTGGATGATTGATCTATATTATTCGGTCTCAAAATTTAAATCCAATAGTTGAAATTGATATTAGGTTACATCCATGACCTTAGCGTGAATAATGGTGTCATATCCAATTGCCGAGAGTGTTTTAGCTTTGTTGATCTTTGGTACTTTGTAACTAATCAAGAAAAAATAAATGCAACTAATCAAACCATGTTTCTTCATAGTAAGGACCTTTCAAATAATCACCTATTGGGCCCAATTTCTAATTGGTGTTCATATCATACTTTTTTGTCTATGCCATACTTCTTTTCTAACACAATGTGAAATCTTGAACCATTTGACAATGTTCATACCTTCTAAATCCAATATGCAGATGCTAATAAGTCATGATTAATGTTTAACAATAAGGTTTCAAAATATGTACCACACACATAATGTTTATCAATGACACCATTTTTTCATTATTAGCCAAACCCAAATAAAAAGACAGATGATGTTACAACCACAACAAGCAATGAGTGCAAAATATTTATTGGTATGTTGTGGTTGTATGGTAGATGAACTATGTTAGATAACTTCTGCCCTAAGTGCTTTATGACGGATTCCACCATATTCATCTACCCATATGAATGAACCCCTGTGGTTACCCCTAGCTGGGCAATGTAAAAACCACCACCCGTAATTAGTTTCCATTCTTGCTATATGTAGTGTCATCTTCCCTTTACCATGAGTAATTTGGTAAAAACATCTCACCGATTATTTCTACATAGAGAACTTGCATAGTAAACATTAAATAATGAACAAGTGATCATAAAAACACATAGAAACTTAGAATAGTTAAAGTAGTAAATAAGTGCAATCCATAACAACCATAAACACCAACATAATTTGAATCCTAACATCATCATAGTCTGAATCCTAACATCATAATAGTTTGAATCCTAACATCATGTTCACATGCAAATCACCAAGTAAACCTTTAGTACATCTCCTATAGAGCAGATGGAATTTGGTCTCTAACCATGTCCATATCTCTACTTGAACCTAGTGTAGTAGTAACATGTTCATCATCATCATCAAAATCATTTTCATAACCATCTTCACACCCGTTTATGTATTTATCCTCACATGCCTCTCATTTTGTGAAATTGTAGGTTATAAAACATGCCATTACAAGAAGTCATTGGAAGTTCAATTGATAGCATGACATTTTTTTAAGATGGAGAATTTACCCTTCAATATTCTAAAGCAACGCTCGATTACACTACATAGTGAAGAACGAGTGTAGTTTAAAGAGGTCCTCCTTCGATCTAAATCTATCGGACTGTCTCTTGAACTCACTAAGATGGTACCGTTCACCATAGTATGGGGCAAGAAAACCGAGAGCATTAGCATATTAAAAATCAACAAGGTAGTATTTCCTTGCATTAAAATTCTAGATGTGAGGACACACAAATGATAAAGGTAAATGTTAAGACGGCATTTTCACGGAATATCTACTTCACTTAGAAGAGGTTTAGGAAACCCTATGTTGGGCCTAATAAGTGTTCTGCCATTATCCTTGAATCATTCGTCAATCCTTCCCATCCTATGTATACAAAGGTAAAGAATATATCAAACTCATAGACAACCAGAACATTTGTCATACAACAAACCTTCTTCCTTCCTCTATACAATATTTGTTCAATAATTGGGACACTAGTTGATAATGTGTACCATCTATAACCTCTACACAATCCTAACCACAATTACAAATATAATTAAAAGAATAAATATGAATAGGAGCCTATGCTAGTATGGATCAAGAAGTGCAGTTATCTTGAACATTGGGTAATATCTCTTAGATTTCCTAATAAATGGGTGGACTTTGATGAATTTAGGTGGCCTTATGAGCTCCTTCCCTATTTTGCAAATTGCACACACAACTTTCCATACATGTGTATTGATGGTCCATGAAGAATGTTGGAACTGCTCACTCATCAGGTAGTTCCTCTCATTGTAACCAATTGTGAGTATGAAAAATGCAAGTGATTCTTCAATGGTGGTATTCCAAGTGCTCTTCAACACTTTCCTCGCCGTAAGCAGCGTGGCAAAGTTTTTATAAAGGTCGATATCCAAATGGACGAAAGTCTGATTGGATTATGCATGAGTATCATCTTGAAACAAATGAAAACACGGTACACCTCAGACAAGTATATTTAGTGGTTTAATTCTCTATTTTGGTTTGATTCTTAGTCCATTTGATGATGAACATAAAATTCATACCTCATGAACACATCACGCTTTGCCATACAAATAACACTTCTCACAGTCATCAGGACAAACAAGGTAATGACAAACTTGAGCTTAGTTCACATACACAAAAAAATCTCAAAAAAAAAAAATCAATCATACACACAAAAAAAATGACAAGACTCTAAACATACATGAAACAACACCAACATTTTCATTTGTAAAGGTGAGACACTAACCTCTTTGGTTGAAGATGAAAAGCAAGGAAGCTAGTGTGGATGCTCTGTAAACTCATGCTAAATCCAATACTAGACAAGAAATGACAAGATTTAGAAGAATTTCATATGAAAACATTAAGGAAAACCACATAAATAAACGACATTAGAATACGCTGGCAAAGAACTTAAAGTTGGGTATTTTTTGGCGAACCAGTCCAACTCTAGAATGAGAGATCGATCGAACAAGTTCATGCAAACAAAACAGAGGATCAGAGTGAGAAACACTTTCATCAAAATCAGAATAAAGAAAAAAAAACAATGGGACTCTTACTGGCGGCGATAGTTGCATTGTAGCAGACGAGCGGTGAGGGGGGAAGAGGTTGGTGGTGAATAAGGAGAGAAGTGAAGGAGGTTGCACTCAAAACCCTACTTAGAAATGTGTTTTCATTTCGATGCACTTCCGAACACTATATCACTTTTCCTCTCTACATGTCATCTTACATGTAGGATTCACATCAACGCCACATCAGGTAGCCATTGGGGTTGGGAGCAACAACTCAACGATGCATGAATTGTGCATCAAGGAGATTTCGATTTATGAGGCATTGCTGATTTTTCCCATTTTTCTCAAAAATGCCTGAACCAAACAACTTTGTAGTGGGAACGTTGATATGGCATTGTTTTTCGAAAAAACGACACTGGTATCAAACATCCCCTTAAAATGTGCCAATTCAATACTTGCCATTAACTAACTGCTAAGTGACATGTGAAAAGACACAAATGCTTTTCGGGTATAATCCAATTTTCTTTATCAGCCATCCAAATGCCCTTCTTAAAACTAAAATACTACTCATCATCTTCTTCCTCCAAAAGATGAAACAAAAGCATACGTTTTAGGTACAATTTTGCAAAGGAATGATAATGATCCATTTCCCACAAAAAGCAAAGGACTCCCCTCAAATCCCAAGCTAACGAATGTAACAAGTGTTGAAACCTTAAGTTTGTGAAGTTGTTTACCATTGCTTTTGTTAAATATTAATTCTTAAGGAAGAACAATGTTTTAAAAGTTAATTTTGACATTTTCAAAAAATTTAAATTGCATATATTATCACGTGATATACATAACTAATGACTAGTTAACGACGGATACAAAATTAACACGTTTTCAGATAGTGAATTATCACATTTTAAAATTACGAGACCAAAGTGGCACTAACCCAAATTACAGGGTAGTAATCATAAATTTTTCCCATATTTTTATTCTAAATTCTAAAATAACAAAAGAAAAAAAAAATGAACGTATTTGTAAGGATGGGGTTGGTCCACTCGCCGTTCTCTATCAAATGAGCGAGAGGCTCTGCTACTCTCCCTCTTCCTCTCTCTCTCTCTCTCTCCAGGCTGGTCATTAGAGAGACGGTCCTCGTTCAGTCGCTCTGCACTCTCTCTTCAGTTTCAGAGAATTTCTCTCTCACTTGTTATCATGAAAGCTGAACAAGAAAAGGCCGCCTGAAAAGAAGCAAAAGATAGAAAAGATGTCTCACACCGTATTTCAAACCGCCCAGATTATGCTTCTGAACTCTCAGATTACCAACAAAACCCTCTCAAATTCGCCATCTCCTCATTCCCACCCTTCTCTCTTTGTTCCATGCCGAACCCCATCTCCCTCTGGCTCCTTTGGAAAACCACGGATGGCGGTTTTGGAGATTAAATCTTCTGCTTTGGTGGAGTCGGACCCCGGAGCTCACCTTGAGCGCTGCTTCAAAATCTCACCGGATTCCGATGTGGGCTCCTCTTCTTCCTCGACTTCAGCGTCTTCTTCTTCTATGGTTGCACCTGTTATGAAAGGTCAATATGGTGCTTTCGGAGCTGTGACTCTCGAGAAGTCGAAGCTGGATTTGTCCTCGAAGCAAACGAAATCTAGCCCTGAGGTCACTTTTTGAATTCGGTTTTCATTCTTTTTCTTCTTGCTGGTTATTTCTAATTTGCTCTAAACTAGAATCCTAATCTGACTTAACTTGTTTTCTAAACGTTTATGAACTGACCAATTTGCATTATTAACTCCTATATCTATTTCCTCCATATTGTAGGGCTAGCAAAATATTTTCTTGCTTAATTTATGGCATACTAACAAAACTAATTGATTTTTTTTTCTGGAAAAAATATTATTCATTTCAATAGAAACTTGGGTTCCTAATTTCCACTATTAAAGATGGAAATGGAAGAAGCGTCATGGCCCAGGCATATCAGGCGAGCCTCGAGGGATTAGGTTTGCAGTTGATATGTGCATCACAATTGAGCCTCCAAAACATCAAAACTGCACCATGAGGCATTTTTATTTGGATTACCTCAAGGTTTTCCATCCCCATGTCTCGATGACTTTAGCGAGAGAAAAGGTGATTGCTAGAGATCACCATCAGACTGACTCCAACAAGATTTCATTAACTAATTGAACGTGTCAATACAACCGATAAACATCAGATAAATACAGAACTTCAAACACAACGCTCAACTAATGACTGACCAACTAGGAAACCGACTCTTGACTGACTTTCAGGTCTCAGCCCAATTGACACCTAACGAGCCCACTACCCCAATTCGACTCAACATGAAACACATCCATGTGTCTGACCATAATCCTAGGACTCTTATTAACTCATCTCTATATCCCATTTCTTAGTGAGACCCCACGTATTCATGGGCTTTTATCCCATTGACTGCAACTACCACTTCCTACCTAGTATGGACTCATGCACATGTAACATATTCTGCAAGGTTTAAGCCTCATGAATTTTTAAAACTACTAATTAAGTATCTTTCAGAAAATTAAGCATCTAGTAAACCTCCTT